GATGGTTTCAAATTCTTGGCCTCAGTGATCCTCCCTCCTCTGCCTCCTAAGGTGTGGGGATTATAGATGTGAGCCACCATGCCTCGCCAGTAGTGATCTCTTTTATTCATACTTGGTTCAAGAACTGCCCATGTTAGGTGAGGGCCACACATAGGTCTCCCTCCTTTGGGAAACCTCTATTGTATAAATCAAGGCTTCCAGCTACTTGAAGGTGCACCAGGAGGGGCTCTCACTTTTGCAAATGGAAGAGGGTATGGGCTTGGGAAACAAATACTTTTCCTCTTTTCCCACTGTGTGAAGGAGACGGTGAAAGTGAACGGAAGAAAAGATAATCCTGTCTCAAGATTACCAGGCAAAGAGTGCAGGACTTTCAGCTGCTGATGCTGTGTGGAAGAAGATCCCTGGAGGCCCAGCTCTAGTGGTGACTTAAATACTCTCTGAAATTGTCTGGATGAGGAACAATCATAAGTGAAAGGCCGGTGTGCTGATGTGCTACTTTGAGCTAAGTGGTTTGGAAGCTTAGGCCTGCTCTTAAATTCCTTTGAAAATTCCTTTCAGCCGGAGACACCACCTTCCAGTAATTCACCAAACTGACAAACACAAAGGGAAAGAGGAGAGGCACCCAATACATGCTGTCTAGGCCTTTTAGAAAAATGGAGTTGTTCCTTTGGCCAGATATATGCAAATCTACAAGAAAGGTGATATTGTAGACATCAAGGGAATGGGTACTGTTCAAAAAGGCATGCCACACAAATGTTACCACGGCAAAACTGGAAGAGTCTACAATGTTACCCAGCATGCTGTTGGCATTGTTGTAAATAAACAAGTTAAAGGCAAGATTTTTTTTTTTTTTTGCAGTTTTGGCTGAGGCCGGGCTTGAACCAGCCCACCCCCCACTCTCCCCATATGGGGCCAGCACCCTACTCCTTGAGCCACAGGTGCCACCCTAAGGGCAAGATTCTTGCCAAAAGGATTAATGTTCATATTGAGCATATTAAGCTATTAAGCACTCTAAGAGCCAAGATAGCTTCCTGAAATGTGTGAAGGAAAATGATCAGAAAAAGAAGGAAGCCAAAGAGAAAGGTACCTGGGTTCAACTGAAGCGCCAGCCTGCTCCTCCCAGAGAAGCCCACTTTGTGAGAACCAACGGAAAGGAGCCTGAGTTCCAGGAACCCATTCCCTATGAATTCATGGCATAATAAGCATATAACATAACACACAGGAGTACCATGGACCCATGTTTTTAGGTGCTGAAACCTACTTATTCCTCATGAGCTCATGGCATAATAGGTATATAGCATAGCACACAGGATAACCAATAGACCCCATGGAACAGTGATATAAGGTGCTGGAACCTATTTCCCACAAATTCAAAAGTCAATCAATGCTTTGTCACATTCAATGGCAAGGTGCCTCCGTGAGCGACTGGAACCTCTTCCCTATGAATTCATGGCATGGTAGATAAAAATAATAGCCTACTGCTACTGTAAAAATGTTTCTTGTTCATTCAC